AGAATACTAACAAACTACAGCAAGACTAGTAAAAACTGCATCATATAAAGGAGATTTAAGCTGGCTCACCAGCACCAGAAAAAAAGAACTAAGAGCATAGCAGAACAATCAGAAAGGTAAGAAGATAATATGTGGCAACGGAGTAGTGGGAGAGGTAATTCTAGGTCTTTAAAAAGAGACAAAAGAGTGACACATGCAGAAAAGATGCTTTATGGACCAATCAAACCCAGTACCAAAAGAAGGTGAAAAAGGGGTGGGGCTGTCAAATACCATTAGAGAAAAAAAAGACCTTAGATCTTCAGAATGCAAGTCTTTTAAAAGTTAAAATATACAAGGAAAGTGGTAACTATAAAAAAGACCCCTTTGGAGAGAAGAACAAGAGCAACCAGTAAAGCATACAGAGAAGTGTGTCATTGTGCAGTGTGAGAATGGGTTCAATGTGGTGTCACTAGAATAAGGGGGGGAGGGAATAAGGCTTTTTAGGGTAACTGATATGATCCAAGGATGCAGGAATGCACTTAAAAAGAGGACAGTGGAGACATTAAGTGATTAGCATGGAGAAACAAGGAAGGGGTAGAATCTCCTATAGGTTTCCAGAAGTAAGAAAGCTGGGACTGTGGTTGCTGAATATAAGTGTGAGGGATTTTACAATATACCTATTTAAAAAAGGAGGGTTATAAAAGTCACGCCCAGTAAAGCAAAGTAGAAAAGCTTGCTTAGAAAAAAGCACATCACATCCCCATTCACACCAGTTCTGAATAAAAAGGAAAGGATCTAAATGTCCTGACCACTCACCTGGATGACCTTCACTTGGCATGTGGGTCTGCATCATCCACAGCTCTTCTCCTTGTTCCAACTTGAAGATGATGTTGGGTTTGGTGTGTTGATACCCTGGGAATGGAAAATCAGAAAACCTGGACCAAAACTGCCAAAGATCCCACAGAATGAGCAAGATTCAGTTTAGAGGTGGCATGATGACTCTGCCCTTCTGCACTCTGGCAAAGATTGTTCAACTGTCATATTCTGACAAAGGAAAACTAAGAAAATCTGGCTTCTAAATGTGAGTCCAAAATCACTAAGTAATTTACAAAAGATCCCCAGCAACCCAGAAGGGGAAGCCTGGAGGTTACACACACTCCTTTCAGGGAGGTACTTACCTAGGGACACCAGGTTGCTATAGTTCTCCAACATCACACTCCTGTACAATTTCTTCTGAGCTCGGTCCAGCAGCTGCCACTCTTCCCGGGTAAAGTCCACAAACACATCCATGAATGACACTGATTCCTGAAATAGGATATTGCCATTCAATCTCAAATTACGTTACTGAGTTTGTGGCAAAAACAGGTACCCTAGGATGTCCTTTTCATTCAACTTTGTATGTAAACTTTGAAAACAAAAATTTACTGAATACATCCTATCAACATGCATTAAATCAGTCAACTTTTCACACAACATTTGACAATACTAGGTACCAGGTATTCAACTAGGTGCAAGTGACATAAAAATGGATGAAACACAGTCTTACCCACAAGAAGTATTCAACACTGCAAAGGAAAGCAAAGTTAAAAACATGTAAATACTGATGGGAGTCAAAGAAACTAAGACAAAAGAACATGTAAAATACACCATGGGCACAAAGGAGGAAGCTAACAATCATACTTCAAAGTGTCAGGCTGAGTTCATGAAAGATTACTGCAAGAGTGACCACTAGAATAAAAAAAGCAAAGATGTAAGTAGTGGCAAGTTTCTGGGGCAAAAGATCTGAACATGGAGATATATGGATGGCATATAAGCATACGAAAAGATGCTCAACATCATGTATCATTAGAAAATTGCAAATTAAAACAGTAAGATGCCATTACACACCTATTTGAATGGCCAAAAAGAATAAAACTGACAATATAAATTTGATTAAAGACATGAATTCAAACATTCAAGAAGCTCAAAAGACTCCAAAAGAGAACCCAGAGACCCACATAAAGACATAATCAAATTTTCTAAAGACAAAGTACACATCTTGAAAACATCAAAAGAGAAACAAAAAAGAAAACAGTAATACAGGAATTGAGGGACAAAAAGCTGTAAGGTATATAGAAAACAAATAGCAAAATGTTAGAAATAAGTCCCTCCCTACCAGTATTTACTTTATGTGTAACTGGATTTAACTCTCCAATCAAAAGACAGATTGGCAGGATAGATAAGAAAGCATGACCCAACTATATGCTGTCTATAACATACTCGCTTTAGACCTAATGGCACAATCAGATGAAAGTGAAAGGATGGATAAAGATATTCCATATAAACAGTAACCAAAAGACAGCAGGGATGGCTAAACTAATACCAGGCACAACAGACTTCCAATCAAAACAAGTTACAAGAGACAAAGAATGTTAAGTATTATTAAAGTTTCAAAATTGAAAGAAGATATAACAATTACAGTTATATGCCTAAGAACAGATGATCAAAATATATGAAGCAAAACCTGACAGAACTGAAGGGAGAAATAGACAGTTTTATAATAACAGTTGGTGTATAGACAGTTTTATAATAACAGTTGGTGTAACTTCAAGGTACTACTCTCAATAATGGATTAACCAGACAGAATATATGTAAGGAAACAGACGACTTACACAAACCAACTAGATCTAACAGGCATATACAGAACACTTTACCCAACTACAATATACACATTCTTCTTAAGTGCAAATGGTCATTTTACAGGGTAGCCATATATTAAACCACAAATTAAGTCTTAATAGATTTTAAAGAATAAGTATCACACAAAAGTATCTTCTATTAGAAATCAATTATCAGAAGGGGAAAAAAATTGATAATTCACAGTTTGCATAAATTAAACATGCTTTTAAGCAACCAATGAACCAAAGAAGAAACCAAATGGGAAATTAGTTAATACTCAGACATGAATGAAAGCAAAACACAATATATCAAAATTCATGGGATGCAACAAAAGCAGTACTGAGGGGTAAGCTTATAACTATAAACACATTTAGAAAAAAAAACAAGAAACATCTCAAATCAAAGCAAGCTCAAATCTAGTTTTACAACTTAAGGAATTAGAGAAAGAAGAACTAGATGCAAAGCTAGTTTAAAGAAGGAAATAAATATTAAATCAAAGGTAAGTGAAATTGTAAATTATAAAAATAACACAGAAAGTCAATGAAACCAAGGGTTGATTCTTTGAAAAGATTCACAAAACTGAAACAACCTTCAAGTAGATGCACTAAGGAAAAAAAAATCAAATTACTAAAATCAGAAATGAAAGTGGGGACATTAGTACTGATTCTACAGAAATTCAAAGGATTATTGGACAGTGTCACGAACAATTGCACACCATACAGTTGGATAAACTAGCTGAAATGCATACATTTCTAGAAACACAAATACTATCATGACTAAATCAAGAAGAAATAAAACATCTGAATAGACCTGAAACTAGTAAAGAGATTGAGTCAGTAATAAAAAATATCCCAAAAAAGAAAATTCCAGGACCTGATGGCTTCACTGGGGAATTTTATCAAATATTTAAAGAAACACTAACACCAATCTTTCTCAAACTTTTCCAAAAAACTGAAGAGGGAACACTTCCCAATTCATTCTTTACGGCCAGCAATACCCTGACACCAAAGCTAAAGACATGATGAGAAAACTTCAGACTAATATCACTTTATGAATATAGATGGAAAAATCCTCAACAAAATACTAGCCAATCAAAGTCAGTAGCACATTAAGTTCATATACCATGGCTGTAATAGAAACACTCAACATACTAGGACTACAATGAAAGTACCTCAACATTATAAAAGCCATACAGTAAAATCACAGCAAACATTACCAATAGTGACAGACTGAAAGTTTTTCCTCAGATCAGGAACAAGGATACTCACTTTCACCACTTCTATTCAACAGAGTACTAGAAGTTCTAGCCAGAGTAATTAGGCAAGAAAAAGAAAAAAAGGCATCCAAATAGGAAAGAAAGATGTAAAACTATCCCTGTTCACAGGCAATATACCCAATACATACAAAAACTTACAGGTTACACACATACACAAACCTGGTTAGAACAAATAAATTCAGCAAAGTAGAAGTTTACAATGTCAACACACAAAAAGCAGTTGCATTTCTATAGAAAGAAATGTTTTATCTGAAAATCAAATTATGAAAACAATTCCACTTATAATGGCATCAAAAAGAATAATATACATAAGAATTAATAACCATAGAGGTAAATTACTTGTAGAATGAAAACTAGAAAACTTTGCTGGGAGAAATTAAAGACATAAATAAATGGAAACATACCCTATGTTCATGGATTGGAACACTTACCATTAAAATATCAATACTAACCAAATTGATCTACATATTCAATGCAATCCCTACCAAAATTCCAATGACTGTTATTGCAGATACAGAAAAACCCATCCTAAAATTCACATGGAATCTCAAGGAATCTAAACCAATATAGCAAACAACAAAGCTGGAGGATTTATACTTCCTGATTTCAAAATTATAAAACTATAGTAATTAAAACAATGTGGTATTGAAATAAAGACCAACATATATACACCAATGTAATAGAAGAACTAGACCAAAAATAAACCGTAGCATAGTTAGTCAATTTTTGACAATGATGCCAAAACCATTCAATGAGGAGAAGAAAGTCTTCAACAAATGCTGCTGGAAAAACCGGATATCCACATGAAAAAAGGAGAAGTTGAATCCTTATCTAACACCATATGTAAAAATTCACTCAAAATCAATCAAAGACCTAAATGTAAGACCTAAAACTATATAAACTGTTATTAAGAAAACATAGAGAAAAAAAATAAAACAGAGCAAAAGCTTTATGATGTTGGCTTTGGCAATGATTTCTTGGGTATGGCACAAAAGGCATACGCAACAGAAGAAAAATAATTGACCAACTGGACTTCATGAAAATTTAAACATTTTTTTACACCAAAACACAATATCAACATATTAAAAAAGCAACTCAAAGATAAGAAAAAATATTTTGAAGGTATGCATCTTTTAAGGGATTAATATCCAGAATATATGGAGAACTAAAACTCAACACAAAAAACCTAATTCAAAAATGGGCAAAGGACTTGAGTAGACATTTCTCCAAAGACAACATACAAACAGCCCATAAGCACAAAAAAAAGATATTCAACATCACTAATCATTGGGGAGATGAAAATCAAAACTATGAGATACCTCCTCACACCGATTAACATGGCTATCAAAAAAATAAAAAATAACAAGGGTTGGACAGGATATGGAATAACTGGAACAGTTGTGTACTGTTGGTAAGACTATTAAATGGTGTAGAACTATGGAAAACAATATGGTGGTTCCACAAAATGTTAAACATAGATTTACCATATGGTCCAGTAACTCCACTTCTGGGTATATACCCAAAGAAACTGAACAGAGTCTTAAAAGAGATATCTGTACCTCCATGTTCATAACAGCATTATTCCTAATTGCTAAAAGGTGGAAGCAATTCAAATGTCCATCACTGAATTAATGGATATTCAAGCAATGGAATATTATTCAGCTTTAAAAAGGAAGGAAATTCTGCAATGTGTTACAATATGGATGAACCTTGTAGACATAATATCAAGTGAAATAAGCCAGTCACATAAGACTACTACTGTATGATTCCATTTATATGTGCTATCTAGAGTGGTCAAATTCATAGACACAGAAAGTAGAATGGTGGTTGCAAGGGGCTGTGGGGAGGGGGGAATGGGGAGTTACTGTAGAGTGTCAGTTGTAGAGGATGCAAAGAGTTGTGGAGATGCATGGTGGTGATGGTCACACAATTGGAATGTATGTAACACCAGTGAATTGTTCACTTAAAAATGTCAAAGATGATAAAACAAAATATGTGCAGGATCTGTATGCTCCAAATTATAAAAAACTGGTTTTAAAAAATAATCACAAATATCTTTTAAAAAATGGAAAGATACACTGCGTTCATGGATTGGAAAACTTAGTATTAAGATGTAAGTTCAATTTGATTCACAAAATCACTGTAATTCTAATTAAAATCCTGGCGAGCTTTTTGTAGCTGTCCACAGCTCTTTCTTCTATGATTAATATGGAAAGGCAAAGAAACAAAATAGCCAAAACAATTCGGAAGAACAAAGGTGGAGCACCCCTACTTGCCCATTTTAAGACTTCCTATAAAATCGATGTAGTGTGATGCTATGAAAAATCAGATGGAAAGATCAGTGGAACACACAGGACAGCCTAAAAACAGGCCCAAACACTGTCTTTTTTTTTTTAAACAAAGACACAAAGGCATTTCAATGGAGAAAAGGTAATCTTTCCACAAATGATGCTGGAACACTTGCACATCCATAGACACAAAAAATGAGCCTTGACACATATCCAGTGCCCTATGCACAAAAATTAACTAAAAATAGGTCATGGACTTAAATGTGAAAGCTCAAATTATAGATGTTCAAGAGAAAAATAAAGGAAAAATGTGTGTATTCTGCTTTGGGTGATGAGATTTTCAATATAATACCAAAAGTACAACCCATTTTTAAAAATTCAAATTGAGAAAAAGGATACAATGGAACCAAGTACTTAATGAAAAATATAAGCAATATGGCAAGATCCATATGTGCATAAACCATTAACAGAAATTAAAAATACATACACAGCAATAATAATGCACACTTTGTAAACACACAAAAAATAACTTTGGGGGGTGGTTAAGGAGATGGAAATAAAATATGGGGAAAACAAGAAGTATGTCAGTAAAAGTGGATAGGGACCTTACACAAATCAGTAATGATAAAAGGCCATGAACTGAGGAATGATTAACTTAACCCTTTGACCGCACCCCTCTCCCCACCAAACAAACAAAAATTACTAAAGAAAAGAAGTGGGAAAATAAACAAGCAACTCACTCGGGACTTTGTGGTTTTCAGCTGTTCCTGGGAAATAAACAGCCACTCTAGAACTTGACTTTTAGGTCTCTGCCTGGGTCCTCCAATGAGAGGCCTCTGGTCAAGAGTCCCTTGACCCAGGATGGATTCCTGACCTTGCAGCTTCCTGATCCTGTGGCATGAGCTGTCTGGTTCTTGGAGAGGTGGGACCTGTAGACTCAAGAGCAAACTCACTTAAGCAGGTGTATTTCTTCTGGCCCCTCTTGGTCTCTCTTAATGGTGAACGTGCTCACCTGAGGCCAGGCTGGGTGGTCAATTCCACTGAGGGCAGAAGCAAGATAAAATGCAAATGGGGGCCCCAGCACTATGATGACAGTCTCCCACTAAGGCTTTGCATAGGTCCCCAGGAACCCTGAAAGTGCAAAATGACCCTGAAATTTTTACACAACTTAGGGCAGCCAACCTACCTAACATGATGCCAGAAGCTAAGGAGTAGACAACTGTTTTAGCCAAGGTGTACATAAGTAATAGATTTTCAACAAAACAGGTTATGTTTCAGAGTTTCTTCTCTCATTATACAGATGTCCATAGACAATTCACTTAATCTCTCTCACTGAGTCTTAATTTTCGTGGTTGTTGAAACATGGAGAATAGGCTGAGATCAAAGTAGCAGTCTAGTTTTTAAATCTCCCAAAACTCCAAGTGAAAACAAAAGACATCCACCAAAGTTGTAAAAGAAAAAGCCCAAAGACATCTATAACAGACAGACAAAACCTACATGACAGGATCTCCTCACAAACCTCTGGCAATGGGCCATTCCAGCAGAGGAAGTGAGCGAAATGAGAAAAGATTCTGATAGGCTACACACTGCAATTCTCCAGTCACCAGGAGACGTGTGCCCCCAACCAGAGAGCACTTCCTCCGAATGGGATCTGAGTGATGCCTCACAGGCTCAAAGCTGAAGTGACTAAAAAAAAAAAATTCCTAAAGGCACTACGTGACCTAACAGGACTGTGGCCATCTAAGGACAGGAGGATCTAAGAAAAAACTGGCAAATAGTCCTTTTGGAAGCACAGACCTTTGCTCTGAGGGAAAGCTAATGGAAACACATCAAATTGATGAGCAGTGGAAGGAACAAGGGAGAGAGCAAGCAGGAACACTGAATGAGAAGGAGAAGGGAGGAGAGGCTATTCGATCAGAAGAGGGAATTTTAACAACAAAATACAAGACGTAAATGTGCAAGAAACACACTAGCGAGGCATGTAAAGCCCTACAACACATAGGACTAAAAGCAGAAAAAGAGGCTTCCTGAAAAGGCTCATTGCTGAGTCAGCACACACAGTTGTATGTGTGTGTTTGCTTCTATTTCCAAAAGAAATCAATGAGAAGATGAACTAGAAACTAAAAATGGTTACTTCTTGGGGAGGAAAAAAACAGGACAGAAGGGATGGACACAAGGCTTGTCTGAATGCACCATTACACAATTTTTCTACTTTTGAATATGTAAATATTTTCCATGATCAAAAAAGGAGGGAGAGCAACCCATAAAGGTAAAAATAAATATCAAAACAAATATATTTATTAATGGAAACATAACTACACAAATAATTTTTCTGACCTTAATGACATGGTATTAGCTTGTGTTGTTTGTATCAAATGATTTATGAAGATACACAGAACCATTTGGTATGCTTGTTAATAGTGACATATACTGTTATTTTAAAACCATTTTATGTATAGTGTAGGATATGACAGTTATGTTACTGTTGTTAGGAACCAAGGCATCTAGCATATGACAAAAAGATTCAAGAGTAAGGTTTTTTAACCCTCACACATTGTTGTTGGGAATGTAAAATGGAGCAACGATTTTGGAAGCAATTTGGCATTTCCTGAAAATGTCAAACACAGAATCACTGTGTTACCCAGCAATTCCATCCCTGCGTACCTGCCCAAGAGAATCAAAAGCATATGTTCATACACTCATACACAAATGTTTGTAACAGCTTTATTCATAATAGCCAAAGAGTGGAGACAACTCAAATGTCTACCCATGGATGAATGGATAAACAAAATGTGGTATTTCTATACAAAGCCATGTTATTCAGCCATGAAAAGGAATGAAGTACTGATAAATGCTACTACACAGATGACCTCTCATAGTGTAAACACCTGACAGCTTTTTAAAAACTAAAATGTAAGTGCCTGACATTATAAGCTTTGAATTGCCAAGGCATCCATTTCAAAGACTTCCATCCTGGATACACAAGGACTATTTGCCAGTTTTTTCTTAGATCCTCCTGTCCTTAGATGGCCACAGCTAAACAACTAGGTATAGAGCCAGGCTACCAGGCCCAAGAAGTCCTCCTTAGAAAGCCCTAGGTGACCAAATAACTGCTCCCTTGACTGACCACTTGCTTTTCCCTTCCTGGGCTTTATTCCCACAGCTCTATTTTAAATTCACCAATACAGAGTTAACCTGAGAAACCCAAGGCACCCCATCCTTTCAGGTACCTAAAGAGTTCTAGCTGATGAAGACATGTTCTAGAGGGAAATTCTATAAATTGTTCACAAAAAAAATCTCAGCTAAAAAGAATGATAGCAATAGAAAAGCACCACTTTGTAAATGCTTATGAAATAATAGGCTGAGGGGGAGATCATTAATGGATGAAACTGCTGGAAAAGGCTGATGGGAAACTTTACAACTCTACCATGTTACCCTCTGAACCTGTCAATCACTCTTTGCAGCACCTAAAGTGACCCAACCAGACATATGCTTCCTGAGGTGACAAAAAAAAAGAATTGTGAAGTATTTTTTCCCAAAACGGAGATGAGTATGAAGGAGCTTAAAGCTAAATTAGTTTACTGGAAATACTGGTAATGGGCAACAAGTTAAATGCTACCACAAGGAAACAGAGATAAATCTAAAATATAGGATATTCTATAGGACAAAGGGCTCAGCATCTTTAGAAAATGAGTTGGGGAAAAACAGAAAGGATGGGTTACTCTGGATTAAAAGAGACTTCAAGTATGTAACAATAAGAAATGTGCACCTTGCTGGAATTTTGATTTGAATTTGCCAATGTTTAAAAAGAAAACAGAAATTTGAATATTGGATAGGTAATACAAAGGAAATATTTTGTTAAGTGAGATGGTGGCATTGTAGTTATGTAAGAAAATGCCTGTCTCTTAATGAATGAGGTGTGCAGGGTAAAAGGGTATGAGGACTGAATCTGCTTTAAAATGCTTCTGTTAAAATAAAGGAAAGGAAACGTGGCAAAATTTTCATAAATTTTGAAAGTGGGTAGTGAGTAGATGAGATTTCATTTTATATCCCTTCACTTTTCTGTGTATTTGAAAATATTCATAATAAAAATTTTTGTAGAAAAAATGGAGTGACATATATGATAAGGTTGGGGGGATTTCGATAATGAATGAATACTGTCTAGGTCAGCAATTTAAATTACAGAACATTACAATCAAGATCCACCGACTCTATTTTGGTGTAAGGTAACAGACCAAGCACTGATGAGAATGGTTTCCTTCAATCCTCACAACTCTCCTAGGCAGTGGTTAGTAAATTCAGATTTGGAGAGATTAAGAAACTTACTCTATAACCTAGAGTTGAGGTCTGAACATGCCTTTGAACTCTGAAGAGACAGCATGTCCAGGAATGGCTGGCTTGGGTGTTTGAACCAAGCCTTGTGTTGAAAACAACCAAAGATGCCGGTTATAGAATTTTTTTAACTCTTCTCAAAAGAGCTGACAATATAGTACCCAAGTAATCAAGCTAAAATATAAGATATACTGGGACCTCAGAGAAGAAAAGCATGTAAGCTACTTTCCTTTTTTGAAGTATAGGTTCTATATGATCTCATATTGGTTTCAAGTATACAACACAGTGGTTCAACAGTTACCCTATTATTAAATCCTCACCCCCACTAGTGCAATTACTATCTGTCAACATAGGAGGATGTTACAGAATCACTGCACTTCCAGCTCCATGACCAACTTATATTACAATTGAGAACTTTTGTTCCTTTTTATCCCCCTCACCCTCTCCTCCAACCCATCCCAACCCCTCCCCCATGGTAATCATGAGCCACTTCTCAGTGTCTGCAAGTCTGCATGTGAGCTACTTTTTGAAAATCTTTCTGAGCACCTAGGAATGGAGATTCAATGTAACTGATTTTGTAACAACACATTTAAGGGGAGTGTCAACAGTAAAGGTAGTTAAACAAAAGCAGGTGAAAAAAAACAAAACCTGCCAGTAACTGCCCAGCACCCTCACAGGGAAGAACAGGGACCTAGTGACTCACAGGCCTCAGTGAAATGTCACTTCCAAACCTCACCTCCCTTTGCTGTGAATTCAAACTCAACAAATAGCAATGGCTGTTTCCACCCTGCACTTTCTTCCACCTGCTCTTCCCAAGGCTGGCCTGCTTTTGTAACTCAGACCTTGGCCTTAAATATCACCTCCTCAGTGGAGCCTCTCTCAAGCACACAATCTTTCACAGTAACTAATTTTAACTGCGTATAACACAACTCTGATGTTTTCTTTTTACCTGTGATAAGATTCTTCATTTGCTTGTCATCTGCCTCCCTTCACAAGAATGCAAACTACGCAAAAGCAAGGATTTTGTCAGTCCTGATCACCACAACATGCCCAAGACCTAGAAGGCGGCCTGACACATGGTGGGTGCTCCATAGTATGTGGACAATGAAACAATGGGTGAATGTTTCAAAAACAAAGTGTATGGTTTGTGTCTACCAGGATGTTCTTTACCTTGAGTATGTACTCTGTTGTGTTAAGACTGAGAGCCACCAGTCTGACTGCATGGGTTTGGAATCTGTCTTCCGCTACCCATATGTGGTGTGATCTTGGTAGGTCACTGTACTTCTTTTTGTTGCACTTTCATCACCTTTAAGCAGGGCTAACATGAATGCCTTCCTCATGAGGTCTCGATGAAGATTAAATTTTCATTTTAAAGTGCTTAGACCCATGCTGGGACACAGTAACCGCTATATAAATGCTGACTAGCAATACTGAATTGTAAAGCTTTCTTTATATAAGTCCTCTGCATTTCTTAAGTTTGTAGTAATTTTACCTATTTTACAGTTATTGTAGATAGAATTTCTTTCACTATCTTTTCTGAATAGATACTATTTATTGTGGGACCCCTGCCTCCATTTTATTCTGTGTCCTCCATCTT